CATATTTCATACTTTGCCTAAAAACATCCGGCATTATTATATACATTGCCAAGGCATTCTATAAAATGCCGACGTTTCATACTTTGCCGGTAACATATACATTTTAAAAATCTGTATTAAACTCAAATTAATTGTTTGAAAAAGTTATTATTTTTTTAAGTAAATGTGAGCACAATATTTATTTCTAAGGTATTTGTTATTTTTATTTTCTTCTACTTCATCCAGTTTCTTATGCTCTTTTTACTTTTTTTTTAAAATTTTCTTTTAGTGCTCTTGAAGTGATAGGTTTCCAAGGGACACGTTGACAACCTTGTTTATAACTCTAGAACAGTTTGTGCTAGGGTCTTGAAATTTGGGAAGAGCACGTTAAGAGCCATTTTATCACCTGGCCCTAAAAATTTCTATTAGCCTGTCGGATAGAGACTTCTTATTCAATACACAGTGTTACTCAAAGTCAAACTATCCACGTGGGATTTTTCAATTATATAAAAGATAACGTTCATGCTGCTCGTTTTAATGCTCTATTTAGTCAAAAACGAGTTTTACTGTGACTTTATTACATTTTCTTAAAAATTATTATTTCTGTAACCGTTCTGTCAAATAAACTCAAAAAGAAAAGTGTGGATAGGACAGGATTGCAATGAATTTGAATTTTGAAAGCTTATCTTATCTTACTATCTATCTTGTGTTTTGAAATCTTATCATTATGGTAAATTTTGACTGTCTCAGGTTAACTGTGGCTAATAAGACTATTTTTGGCTCTAAATGACTATGAAACAGCTAAAATTTATTTTGATGAGTTGCATCTCTAAAAAACGGGTTTTGCTTGATCGAATATTTTAAGTCGCTGTAAAGAGCAACAAACAGTAATTAAATATGTAAAAGTTTTTTTACATATTTGATTGTGTCACTGCATGCTTTATTGTTTTGTATGTGACTACGAAGTGTTTACTAAGACTGATTGATTAATTTACTTTAATTTTACTCTATATAAAGAACGAAAATTCCGGTGAATAGTAAAAGAAATTTAAAAAAGTTTCAAGAACTTTTATTACTTCGAACAAACAAGCATTTAATAAAAGTTTTTTTTAAAAAAAAAAAAAACTTCATTGGGTTTATGTTACTATTTTGGTGGTACAGAGCTCCTTTATTTAAAAGATATAACGATATCGCATCGTGCGAATGTGCAATTTTTTCTTAGTTAATACGATAAATATTTTGAAAATCATACTTATTTTTTCTAAATATTGTTAGATGAAACTTATGTTTTTAAGTTGACGCTATTTACATTTTCTTGTGCATTTCATTTACTATATTTTCAATGTAGATTAAATATTTTAATACTTTTATTAAAGGTGCACTAAGAAACTCTTAGCCGTATTAAAAATTTACCATGCATGTTATAATTTAAATTTTGATTTACATATCCTAATCAGTGACTTTTTAAAGCATATAACTGAAAATGATTGAAGTCGTCGAATGTCAAAGATGACATCTCAATGTAAAATGTTCCTAAGTATTGTTTCCAGAGAGATGCTTGGCAATATTTTTTCATTAGATAATAACACAACTCGTAAAAAAATTATGGCCTACTTTAAAACCATCGTGTTTGTGACAAAAATCATTAAACAGTACAATTGAAAAATGTGGTTTATCATAATATTTCTTCAAGTCTTTCAATTGTAAAATATAGTACTTTTCATGAAACTGTTAAGTTTTTGAAAGAAAATAGCGTGTGAATTGATGTTTTAAAACATATAAATGACAATTTACTATTAGTTGTTTTCTTTTTATTAATTTGAACTAGTATATTAGCTTTAAGATTTACAGAAACAGTTATTTTTTCTTATTTTCTTTGAATTATGAGCAAAAACACATAAGTGAGTAATTACCATTTGAAAAGAAATAGCACTGTAAAAAAGATGTAAAATTTGCAGTAGAAAATCGTTTATTTCCAAAAAATACTCTTATTTAAAAGCAGACGCATGTTTTTTTTAAGTAGATAAGTACTGTTATTTTAGCAAACCAACTCTGCCATTTTAACAAAAAGACTCTGTTTCTTTTACAACAAAATAAACTCTTTTATTTTAACAGAAAAAAAACTCTGTTATTTTAACAAAATAAAATCTCTGTTATTTTAACAACAAAAAGCTCCGTTATTTTAGCAAAAACCTTAAAAAAGAACTCTATAAAATATCTATCTCAGCGTTGTGGCTGATGTGAAGCTAGTACCGAATTCGCATGACCAATCAATCCCGTGATATGAGCTTGGGTTGTCTTATTGGGAGCCAAGCACTCTGTCTCCTGAGCCACAACAGTTTTAGCGTTTGGTTATGAAGAAGAATCAAATCTTAAACTATCTATATTTTAAAAGTCTTACTAATTGAAATCATATTAAAGTGTAAAAACATTTAAACAATATTGGCCTACCCTTACAAAAATAATTTATCTGGTAATTTAACTTACTAGGAAATTATATCGAAAGACAGACACTAATCAAGTAGAGTATCAATTCGACAATGTTCCCGAATAGCGATTTTATTTATATGGTTTTACAAAACCATAAAATAATTTCTGAAAAGTAAGAGCAAGTAAAGAAAATAGTCGTAAACTAATGAACTGCACAGCAAAAACTGGAATTATAATTGACAGTTATTATCCATTTATAATTAGAGTGAAAAACAGTTTTAAACCGTCAAATATACGGAGAAAAGCTGTTAAAATATGGGATTTTTGTGCTGCGCTCTTACTGACAATTAAAAACACACATTTTTTTTGTCTTTAAGCAGTTTATCTTTTCTATGAAAAATATAGTTTTTCCGTGGAATTTTCAGTTATTTTTTTCAGTGCATGAATGTTGTCCACTGATAGTAATTGCATATTATGTTAAATAACGAAATAATATTTAAAAATAATATTTTAATTTGTACGAATGATTTTTTTTGGATGTTTAGCAGTTTTTATAGTTACTTTGAATTTAATATATAAGTCAGCGATACTTTTCACACACCACAATATATCTTTATATTCCACAATATAAAATTATGCATGCGTATGATGTTATGCATTTTATAAGATACTATCTCTAAAATTAAGATATTGCATTAATAGTTAAAGTGATAGTCTCTTTCGTTTCAAAAAATATTTTTTTATGGAAAATCACAATGCCTTTCAAATTCAATAAAGAAAAAAAGTTTACATCAAAAACATTAGAAATCGTAAATATAATTTCTTTTGGTTTTACATCAATAAATGTTTAAATATGCTTATTTTGTTTCAATGTATTTTTAACTATAAATGAATACAATCTTCTAATTGATACACAAGTTTCGTAAAAACTATTAGTAAAATATTTTTCACTTCTATATTTACGATCTAAAAACGAAAAAAAAAATTTTTTTCATTAAAAAAATGATAAGTTATCGAATGAATCGATTCGAAACACACTAAATCAATTCATTATATCGTGAAACGTAAATAATTGCATGATTAAGAAGAAAAAAAATATCCTGCTATGCGCAAAACCCAGAAGAAAATATTGTTTCAACTGGAGATGATAAATAAGAAAAAAATATGTATAAAATCCAATATTTACTCTCTTATTTCACATCATTTTTTCCTATCTCTCTGTAGTGCTTTAAAGAAAAAACACTTGTTTTATCCGAGATGTTAATGTAAAATAAGTTGTTTTATATATTTTTTTTCTACATTATTAAGATAAGCAGTTGAACGTTCTATCATATCCTATGCCTCATTATACTACGCAATATTATGCATATTATGCATTATTAAATTTTTTTGGAACGTGTTCAATGTGTTAGAATGCTAAATAAGGTTTGTATGAACTATTCAGTGTTATGAAATTACTCATTACATAACTCATTAAGAACACACGGAGACATTATGATATATATGAAGAAAGTAATGAACCATAATTCATAAATTAAATTAAGCCAAGCAAGTTAAGCACACTAAGTTAACAAAACTTGTTTATTTTAAAAGTTATACAAAAAAATATTAAAAAAAAGTCTTGCGATATTTTAAACAAAACTATTTGGAAGCTTTGTTTTTATTTAACATTAACACGAAGATAATATGAAGTTGGAATTTATAAAAATAGTAATAATCTGAGATCAGTAAATTAAATAATCTAAATTAAAATAGGCTTAACTCACTACACTTTTTATTTATTATAGACAGGAAGATAGTAGGAAGTCGGGACTTAAATTTAGTAATGAATCACGATTTACAAGTCGAATTAAACCAAATAGATAAAACACACTAAATTAACAAACTAAACTAACAAAATTTATCACTTTTCGAAGCAATACGAGAAAATAAAAAACAGCTTTTGCAAATGCAATATTTTAAATAAAACTATTTTGAAATAATTTTTTAAAATTAAATATGAAGAAGATATTACCGCAATTTACAAGCAAAATAATAACCAATAACTACCAAATAGGTTAAACGCATTAAACTAGAAAAACTTTCCCCTTTTAGGAAATATATAAGAAATAAAAAATAGCTTTTACAATACTTTAAACAGAATTATTTTGAAGCAAAAATTATTTTTACTTATTATTAACAAAAAGATATTATCGCAATTCACAAACTATATAATCACCAAATAGGTTAAACACCATAAATTAACAAAACTTTTCACTTTTAGAAAATATACAAAAAATAAAAAGTAGCTTTTACAAATGCAGTATTTTAAATAAAACTATTTTGAAGCAACTATTTTTTTTCTAACAAGAAGATAATAAGAAGCTGGGGTTCATGAAAAAACTGTAATGAATCATAATTCAATTGTTAAATTAAGCAAAATAAGTTGAAAACATAAAATTAACAAAAATGTCTCTGTTATTTAGAATGTTTAGAAAATTATACAAGAGAACACAAAGTAATTATTTAAATGCAACACTTTAAATGGAACATTAACCAACAAGTGCATGTGATCACAAAATTATGCAAATGAGTGAAATAAAAATTCTAACCTTTATAATCTTGTTGATACAGCGTAATAGCTTTTTTTCCAATCAGTTAAGCTGGGATCATTTTATTTAAATCAGAAAACAGTATTTAAATAAAACTCACGGAATATCATCACCGGTCGGACCAGCTGGCGAAAATGCTTAATCTGAGCGATTTCTTCAGATGAAGGAAAAAGTACGAAACTACCACCAGGTGGCGTCCTCTTCTTGGCCTTGTGTTTCGTGACTTACCGTTAATTGAAAATTTTTGTGGAATGAAAAAAAAAAGAACAATTTCATCGAAGACAAGAAGTTTGTGATGTGTTCAAGCCTCCTTCGAAGACTTTCTAACTTGTCTACTATCTTTTGTTTCATGAAGATGTACAAGAATAAAGAAATGTTTAAGAGAATTATCGCGTTTACGCTGTGATACTTTCCTGTTTGTTCAGATATTTTCAACCAAGCTGTGTATCTAAAATATACTGCTTATAAACAAGATTTTATCTGGAAATGGAGATAAAAATATATTTATGATTCACAGCATTCTTATAGTTCATAACATGTTATTAAACTCTTAAAAATGTAATTGTTTACTTAAAGAAATTATTTGCCCTCATTATATAAAAAATAAATTAATAAAAATTATTTTTCCGTTTAAACAGCATACAATTTCATTTCAGGGACTCATTATGAATCAAAATTTTGTTAGGTTCTTACAAAGGTTACAAAGGTTTGTTAGGTTCTTAGGTTTTAAATTAATAAAAATTATTTTTCCGTTTAAACAGCATACAATTTCATTTCAGGGATTCATTACGAATCAAAATTTTGTTAGGTTCTTACAATAATTAATTTATTTTTTATTTAGGATTCTAGTTTTAAAACCAGATAAATCTCAATTACATTTTTTAGAATCTCTTAACGGTATTTACTGTACTACAAAAATACAAAAAAAATTTTAAAACATTAAATGTACTACTTATGAATGAGACAAAATATTTAAATAAACATATTAAAATTTATTTATGATTCACGCCTTCTTATTGTTCATAACATATTCTTAAAAAAATAATTGTTAAATTCAGTACGAAACAATGTGCTCTTATCATTATAAAAATACTAATAAAGTTTTAAAAAGCATTGATCAAACTGTTATTGAAAGAGATAATATACTGAAATAGAGGTAAAAATATATTTATGATTCACAACATTCTTATAGTTCATAACATATAATTAAAATCTTACAATAATTTATTGTAAGATTTTAATAAGTTCTTACAATAATTTATTTATTTTCTATTTAGGATTTTAGTTTTAAAACCAGATAAATCTCAATTACATGCTAGAATCTCTTAATGGTATTTATTGTACTACAAAAATACAAAAAAAAATTTAAAACATTAAATGTACTACTTATGAATGAGACAAAATATTTAAATAAACATATTAAAATTTATTTATGATTCACAGCATTCTTATTGTTCATAACATGTTCTTAAAATCTTAAAAAAATAATTATTAAATTCAGTAAGAAATAATGTGCTCTTATTATTTGAAAAATAAATTAATAAAAATTATTTTTGAGTTTAAACAGCATACAATTTCATTTCAAGGATTCGCTATGAATCAATATTTTGTTAGGTTTTTACAATGATTTATTTCTTTTTTTGATTTAGGACTTTAGTTTATAAAAACAGATAAATTTATTATTATTATTTTTAGAATCTTTTAGCGGTTATTATTATATAAAAATACTAATAAAATTTTAAAAAGCATTGATCAAACTGCTTATGAAAGAGATAATATACTGAAATAGAGGTAAAAATATATTTACGATTTACAACATTCTTATAGTTCATAACATATAATTAAAATCCTAAAAAAATAATTGTTTAATTCTATAAGAAATAATTTGTTCTTATTATTTTTATTTTAAAAATAATTTAATAAAAATTACTTTCCGTTTAAATAGCACACAACTTTATTATAAGGACTTATTCTGAATCAAAATTTTGCTATATTCTTACAATGTTTTATTTCCTTTTTTAATTGAGGCATTTAGTTTTAAAACAAGCTCAATTTGTTATTATTTAGCATTTTTATAGTACATAACATGTTATTCAACTCTTAAAAATATAATTGTTTACTTAAAGAAATTCTTCTTCTCTCATTATGTGAAAAATTATTGAAAATTATTTTTCCATTCAAACAGCACATAATTTCACTTTAAGGACTCATTATGAATCTAAATTTTATTAGGTTCTTACAATGATTTCATTTTTTTTACTTAGGATTTTAGTTTATAAAACCAGAAAAAATTATTATTTTTTAATATTTTTATAGTAGTGTTATTAAACTCTTAAAAGTATAATTGTTTTCTAAAAGAAACTATTTGCTCTCATTATATGAAAAATAAATTAATAAAAATTATTTTTCCGTTTAAATAGCATATAATTTCATTTTTAGGACTCATTATGAATCAAAATTTTCCTTTATTTTTACAATGATTTCATTCATTTTTTTATTATTTAGGATTTTAGTTTATAAAACCAGATAAATTGACTATTATATAACATTTTTATAGTATATTAACATGTTATTAAACTCTAAGAAATATAATTATTTACTTAAAGAAGTTATTTGAAATTCAAAATTAATCTATCTATTTGCCTGAAAACTATGTTTTTTTTCTAAGATAAATAAAATTCCGTTTTCCCCGATCAGTGCAGTAATATTTACCCGAATTCAACTGATTGTCTTCCCAAAGTCGTTTTCTTTTTCACAACTCAAATCTTTTCTCTTTCTTATATATCTTCTGAACTTTTTTTCTTCCGTAAATATTTTAAAAATAAAATTAACTGGTTTGATCTGTCTTACTTTCCAAATTTGAGTAATTTAATGCAGCTAAGTTTTGATAGTACCGATTTCATCAACGCAATAAATATAAAATGAGGTTTTAATTAAAATTTCATTAAATGAAGAAATTAATTCATTAAATGAAGAAGATTATTTAAAACTATACTTCAGTGGTGTAATTTGCCTTGTGCTCCTCCGCTAGATATCACAAGTGTTTACGCAGTGTTTAAAATTATTATAAATCAAATTTACTAAATCAAGCTTTATTACAAAAATTTATCAACCTCTACTTAATTCATTGATTCATTGAATGAATTAATGAATTAATTTATTAAATCATTCAAAATTAATTCATTAAATGAAGAAGATTATTTAAAACTATACTGCAGTGCTGTAATTTGCCTAGTGCTCCTCCGCAAGAAATGAAAAGTGTTTACTGAGTATGACTTGGTGTTTAAAATTATTGTCAATCAAATTTACTAAATCAAGTTAAATGAAGAATTAGAAATTCTCTAGTTTTCCAGTTCATAGGTCATACTTGTAATATTTACTTCATTTTCATTTGTATATAAATAAAAATAAGAAACTTCAAATTTAAAAAAAAACAAACTAATATCTTAATTGAAGATTTTAAATAAAGCAAGACTTTCAAAAAATTGAAATAAAAATAATTTTTAAAATTAAATTTAAAATCTACAAGTTACGAATTCCAGAGAATTAACATTTTTCTGAGCATTAAGTGATTTACTTTTCACTTAGTGTAATTATCACGGAAATATGAAATTGAAAAAATAATGTTGATGTAATGTTATTATATGCTAGTGATTACTTTTTTCTTTAGATTAAAACTAAAAACCAACGTATTCAAGGTGAATACATATTAAATAATACTAAAAGATGATGCATAATAATACAATACAGCAATTCATACAAAAAAAAAACATTATTGTCAAAATTGCCAAAGTATGATACAACTTTTGTGTTTCTAGTTCTACGGGAACACCAAAAAACTTGATAATTTTTAACAAAGGGTTTTGACATAATTATTTTGGTAAAATTAAGCACAAAATATGGTTTTATAATATGCAATGAAATTAGGTAAATGTGGTAAAATTTAGTAACTTAGAGCATGGCATTAAAACTATTTATTCGATTAATATTGCTTTTCAGTTCTGTATTTTTTTCTAAATGTGTGGCAATAAGAACTATAATTTTGAAAACCAGAATTTTCTATGAACTGTTTCCACAGAAACGGTAAAATTAACAAATGAATTTTTTAAATACCATATAATTTTGAGTTAATTCTTAGAATTGTGGTTTTTTTTCACCATAAAGGTCTTTATTAGCATATATGAAATGATTAGCATACAGAATTTTACCAGAAGTTTTCTTCGTTCGAAAAGCATATTTTTAAATAGGCTGATTTGTATATTGGAATGTATATTGTATGCTTGGATATACACATCAACATGCATTTTGCACCTTAAGTATTTAACTATTCTATTACAAGATATGAGTTTATAAACTTTATTAATGTTTTCACTGATTCGACCATTCAGTGCATGGAGATTTCCTTACTATCTAATTCGCTAAATAAAAACTTACTGATTCCCTTTACTAACTGATAGGTAAATTCATGGATTCGTTTTATTTTCCAGCAATTTATTCATTTATTATAACAAGATACATTATTAATAACAGTCGAAATTACGAACAATATACATTTTAAAATTAAACATAAACAAGCTAAAAATACTTGCAAGAAAATAATAATAAAAATATATAAAATAAATTGAAAAAAATAAGCATATAAAGAAATTTAAATGTCCGCAGTTTAAAGAACATTGAAGACAAAAACGGTCGTCATAGTAAAGAAAAATGATCGCAATAAACTGCTCTTATATTTACAAAATAACGCATATAATGATTAATGATTTTCATTACTGTTAAAAAATTGAAATTGCTGCTCAAACTTTTATAGATATATCAAATTAGAATAGTATTCCTTTCCTCAATAGTGCCACACCTCATTTTTAAAAAGTCCCTAAAAAGTTCTTCATCGTCCCCTATATTCCTTTCGGACATAATCCATACTGTCCAAAATATATTAAAATATTTGAGCTCTAAAAAAATAATAAAATACGCCTTGTTAAGCAAAATATTGCTAATCTTCTACATTTAATTAAAAACAAAGGTTTTCTGTTCAAGTGACGAATAAAGGTTTTTTAATTAAAGGCGGAAATAAATCTTTGAAGATGAAATTCGTTTTTATGAAATCTGTTTTAAACAGTTTCGAAATATTAAATCAAAATATTAAATTTATACGTAATAGTTTGTTACGTTATAAACATATACGTAAATGGAAAATAAATAAAAAGAAGAAACAAAAAACTGTATCTTACTATGCAAATTTTTTTGCTATTTCTAAGCATTGTTTTCGATGACAATGAAAATTAAGAAACAATGAATTTTTTGCATGCATTTAAAAGAGCGCACAATGTATTGCTTTAAAATATGCAATTATTCTTTCGAAACTACAAACATAAAATATGGTGTTGAACAAAGTAAAGGCACACAAGAACTAAATAATTGTACTTATA